ACTCAAATGCGATCAATTTTAGTGGACAGCTTGCGCTACGTAACAACTTCCTAGACCGGATCCTGCTCAGCCCATTTTGTCCTTCATCTTCCTGGTGTGATTTACTTACTAGATTACGGAGAAGACCATCTGAAGGCGAAGGGAAGGCTGAAATTGTGTATCGCATAAGCACCTTCATATCTCGAAAACGAAGGGAGCGTGGCTGTACTTCATTTGAAGGTGCGGCGTCTGTGCGTTTGCTGGCATATTTTAGTTCTGGGAGAACTTGTTATCATGTCTATGTACAGCACAAGACAGGACGCAGTTGCCTAATCAGAAATACCTCCACGAAAACGCATCCAGCGCAATAACGTGGCCCGCAGCCACGCCCTAGCCATCTCCGGGATACGGACTATAAGGTGTTTATACGTGCTAGTGACACATCGGAATTTCCCTTTTCTCTGACTTATGAGAGAAATGCACGAACATCTGCTCTATCCATTGTTCTTAATGGATGCACTAGGGTAAAAACAAGTTGGTGAAGGAAATGTAGAGGTATATGGCGCCACTCACGGTGCATACGGTGTGGTGCTAATCAATTCGATGTTCTGTAAGCTTCTGTAGTGGTCCAGTCATCGGCGGTGGAGCGCACTTGGTCGTGGAATTGCTCGAGTCGCGAGCTAAAAGCGCGGCCTAATTACTACCAGGTATGTGTGTAGGACGGAACACTAAATTATTTGGCGGCTGCTCCGCGCAGTTCGTTGTCTTAGCCAAATCATAATTGCAAAGGAGGTGATGCTTCCGAAAGGGATGGGCATGCCGAGGGCTCCACACTTTATCATTGTTTGCGAGTTTGATATAAGAACAATTTTCGGCATTGTTCTGCTTGATAGGGGCACCCAATGGTACTCAGCGAACTTCTTGCAGGTCACCTTGTGAGAAACTCTAATTTACTATAACTGAAGTAACTCAGACTCAGCGGGTGTCATCAATAATAGACTGTTAGTTAACATACTGGCAAAGGCACTTCTCTGCCCTCCCAAGGACATCATTAACTTTTCAGGCTATGAAGGCTGAACTTGATCATTCAACTATCCTTCCACCGAAGTATGAGCTCATATTTGACAATGACAGTTCAGACTATCAGCTCAGGTCTGATGCACAGCCGTACCACGAAGCTGTAGTAAACTCTAACTGTAGAGTCACAGCTGATGATCATTTCCAGGTAAAGTTTCTACTGGACGAATTTAGACTGGAAACAATATAAATGTTTTTCTTGAAGGATACTCGACTTGTGAGGTTTACGAGCACAGATCTTCCAACCAAGAACGCAAGTTTTTGTTCGCTGCTTTTTACCCGTTTTTCTAGCAATTGCTCATAATTGCACTAATAGGAGAGCAGTAACAACAAAATTTCCTTAATATTATAACAAAGCACAACAAATAGTAGCAGAGTAAAGGAAGTAAGACAATGATAGCTCTTCGATCTACTTCGCTTTGCTGAACGAGGCTGTAAGATGGGACCATTATTGGCTCTTACGGATTTTTCGTATTCTCAGGGGGGCGAGGACCGCCTTCTGCTGTGCGGCAGCGACCTCTTTCTTTTGTACAAGCACTCACGCATCGGTGGTATCTGAAGAAAGAAGCACAGCAAAGGTCGAAAAAACCAAGTTATAATACCTATCAACCCTCACTGGCAGAGTAAAAACGCCAAAATTTGACGCCGTCTGTCTGAATTATAAAATAACAGAGAACACTGTAAGAAATCAAAGACTATGAGTCAGACGACGCACTCGACTGCAGAACAACGTTTGGGTGCAATTTGGGGACATGAGATTCGGCCGATGCGGCATGTGGCACATAAAACTCATTGCAGCGTCGCGACTTGGCATACTGATTTGTGAGCCTGCACCCGTTGTTACTGCTAAAGCACGCGCACATCGCGATTTCATCCAGTCCTCAAAATTCTATGGCCCGTCTTTACTGCCGGTAATGATGCCTTCGGAGGCTCAGCCAGCCGAAACTAAAGTAAATATCAGACAAAAAAAAAAAAAAAAATAAGTGCGACCGCCGACGAATTGCCGCCAAGTTGATGTCAAAAAAATGCGAATGGGAGGGTAGTGTCTGGCAGAACTCGAAATTGCACCTCACGCACATTGGTTTCGGCTGGCTTCGTCTGCCGATCCTCCCTCTGCGGATTTCCCCTATTAATTTTCAGAAAGAAGAGAGAAGCTAGTCGTATCGGCCTGGCTTCGCCGGCCTATTCTTCTTCTGTGTGTGGAGTGGGCCTTGCTGATCCCCTTCTACGTTTGGAGTGAGTCTTTCCCCCCCACAAATTCTCAAAAAAAGGAAAGGCCAATGCTGATCGTCCCGGATTCGTCGGTCGATTCCTCGCTGCCGTCGTGAAGGGGATCTTGACGATCTCCCTCCTGCGTGTGGAGTGGGTCTTCGCCCACAAGTTTCAAAAAGAGTTAGTGTGCTGGCCATTACACCCCACCCCGCTTTCCATTTTTTCACTCTCTTAAAGGGGCAGTTGGCCACGACAGATCAGCTATACTAGGTGTAGGATTTGTACAACTGGCTCAACAGAATTCCGTGACTTCGGACAGGTGCTGCGCGTGAAACCTTTTCCAAGGAGGGTACCTCTATAACGCCCTATTGAGCAACAACTTTACGTCCCAAACGCCTTCCTTGCCCGCCCGCCCACAAACGGACGACCGTTTCTGACGCTCGTATTCATTCATTTGCTGAGCAAATTATGAAGCAAAGGGATTGGTATGAAGCGGCGGTGATGCTGCATGCATATATGGGTACACATATGCAGCCGTACCTTCGGTAGCGGTGATTGGCAAGGTGCGTACGGGAAACTCGTCCGAAATCGATTTACAAGTCACTGAGAACGGAGGCTTTTTCTTCGCCGGATTTTGACCGTTTCACTCCGTTCTTTCGCCAATTTCCCCACTATACAGCGCCCTACTAGCATTTTAGGCTAAGTAGGAAATCATCGTGCCAACTGCCTTTAAGGTTTCGGAACAAGCTGGTAATTTCCTCACTTGGATGTGGCCGAGGATCATTAACCGAAGCCATTTCAGAGATTCTGAGTACATCTATGATCCAGGCGATGTTCTCATGGTTCAGCCCTGTAATTTACCAGAATCTATTGACATAGCTCTTGAAGCACTAAAATATCCAGACGAATTACTAGACCGTCCAATACAATTGGTGCCATCAGATGAATTTGTGAAACTTCCGCCTGCGCCTTTCTGGAGCGTGAGATACCCTGTTGATTCAATGTGGAACTCTGTAAAAAAACTGTTCCACACTTCCTTTCAGAGTGCCCCACTCTTCGCACTTGTTTCCTACGCCTATTCGATCTGCAAGTGGTCCCACGGAAGTCTTTTTTTCAAACGTTGGCTTCAATATCCACGGATCCAGATGAGAAGGAGAAATTACTCGAGTTTGCCAGTCCACAGGGCTTAGTACGTTACAAATAGTTAATTTACAAGTCGTCTATATTCATACTCAAATTCCATCCAAGAACAAATCAGACTAAAGGGTAATGCAAAGAACCTTCTGAAAAGTTCTTTTTCATTCAAAATGGAGGGTTTTTACTGATAATGAAAAAGGGAAAGCAGTTCGTTTTCAGTAGGCTCTTTTCAATCTAATCAGCTGCACTTCGCTCTCGACATCAGAGGTGGCTGCCTTCTACAAGGCGGCCCCCCCTCGACTTAACTACAGGCGGCTTCCAGTCCGCTCAAGCGGCGCCGCATACCTTGCGCGCGCTGAGAGGGTCAGATCTGGGACCGGCGCTCCCCGTGCTAACGAAGTCTTCCTTTCCTGAGAGCGGCAAGTGACTGCCAGCCAGGAACAGGGCACGTTCTGCCTTTCGGGAAAAATTGCAACATGCGACCCTTCTCACAACTTCCTGCTCATGTGCGATCCCCCTTCACCATCTCCCAACCAAGAAAAATGAACAACTTGAAACATTCCCCATCAGAAGCAAATGCCACCTCCCTCTTTCTCTCCGCCGAACAAAGTGCGGTTCCCCCTCTCCCCTCATTGGGGATCCCAACGTGCAACGTGCCTCGGCCAAGGGGATTGAATGAGTCGCCTGCACATCTACTGGCTTCCAAAAGTTATTGTGTGAGCCATATCACATTCAAATGCAGACTTCGCGATGAGCAAGCGAAAAGTTCGTAGTACTGGTGTTAGATCAGGAGCGTATGTGCTAGATGACTTGCTCGAGTAGAAAAAAGAGAAAACCATCGAAAGTGCTTCACATAAGGCCTTGTGCGAAGCGAGAGACAAAGAATCAATGTGGATACCGGGTGAGATGCCAGAGAAAGCAGCGGGAGAGCACGTAAACAAGTAAGACAACAGGTAATGAAGTTAAGAAGTTGATGATGGGCTAATTGCTTGAAGAAGATAAGGGGTGGTCCGTTTCGCCTCTTAATCAGACGAACCACTTTTTCGTCTCCCCCTGAGGCTCTTCAGTGACTAGGGGAAGACGTTTTCAAAAAGTTTGTATAAAGTGGTGCGTGAATGAAAGAGAAAAAATGAGATAAAAGGTAAGACATCTATCATAGTGGGCAGAGTCACTTTAGCAGCCTTGGGCCTTACCGCCGCTCCCTTAATATTTTTTGACGTGAAAGACTAATAGGTTGCTCGTTGCCGTCCCTACTGTGTCTCCATGCAAAGAACATAAATATTAGGTTGTCCGGAAAGTTCTCAGCGTTTTGAGTGTTTCACTTTAAACGATCATAACTTTCTTAATACTCATCGGATTTAATCGAAATAAGCACCGTTCGAATCAGCACACTTTTGCCAATGTGACACCAGTCGAGAAATCCCATCAAAGAAAAAACTGGGTGGTCGAGAATCCACGAAATCCACGAAGGCTTTTTTGCCTGGTCCTGATTGATGAAGTATTTTCCAGCAAGGAAGTTCTGAAAATGTTTGAAAAGGTGATAGTCGGTTGGTGAAAGGTCTGGAGAATATGGCGGTTGAGGTAGAACTTCAACCCCCAATTCGTTCAATTTATGGATAGTGATTTGTGAAACGTGTGGGCGGGCGTTGTCAAAAGAATCGGACCCTTTCTGTTGACAAGTGCTGGCTGCAGCTGACGCAATTTTCGGTACATTTCGTCGATTTCTTCACAGTAGGACTCTGCTGTGATGGTTTGGCCTGGTGACAAAAAGTTATAGTGGATCACACCAGCCGATGACCACCAAGCCGTGACCAGAATCTTTTTTTCGTGAGGATTCGGCTTTGGAAAATTGCCTCGGTGGTTCGTCCAACCACTGTCCGGAACGTCTCCTGTTATCATACATGATCCACTTTTCATCACAGGTGACAATTCGGTCCAAAAACGGGTCGTTTCTGTTGCGCAAAAGCAGTGAAGAAGAAACCTCGAGACGTGCCAATTTTCTGCCGGTCACTCAAATTGTGGGGCACCCACTTGTCGAGTTTTTTCACCTTCTGCGTTTCAGACCATCCGCAACAGTGGATTTGCCAACGCCTAGCTTTTCTGCAATCTCTCGAACTGTTTGGGTCAGCCTCCAAAATCCCCCTAAAATCCTCGTCAGATATTGCTTTAGGTCGACCGCTATGAGGTTCATCTTCAAGGCTGAAATCTCCAGAACGAAATTTGTCGAACCATTGTCGCACGGTGCTTTCTCCAACACTATTGGGCCCCCACACCTGGTTAATTTGTCGAGCTGTCTCGACTGCGGATTGACCCAATTGTAGTTGAAGAAAAATATCGTCCGAAGTTGCTCTTTTGACATGCTTCAAAAAGTCTTGGGAAAAGGGGGTTTATCAAGCAATGGTGAAACGGCAATTATACCATCAGATAGCGCAAAAAAATTCTCTTCAGATGTAACCTCGTCATCCGGGCAGTTGATTAGGGCGGTCGTCAACGGGCCGCAGCGCGTGCCAGGAACTATTTGCTTTTCCAGGCTAATTTAGTCATTTTTTCCACCTTGTGAAGATAAGGAGCTGCTAATCTGGGAAAAAGTAGCCAAAACAGTGAAAAGTTGGAAAAAATGACTAAATTAGCCTGGAAAAAGCAAATAGTTCCTGGCACGCGCTGCGGCCCGTTGACGACCGCCCTAATCAACTGCCCGGATGACGAGGGTACTACTGTGACGCAAGAGAGAGAGTTTTTAATCAGCAATGAATGTACAAAAAATAGTACCACAGAACGCTGAGAACTTTCCGGACAACCTAATAATTAAGTGATCGTGGTCTCTGCCTTCAAAAGACTTAAGATTCTGAGTGGTAGCAGAATGCGAGTATCGCATCTCGAGAAAGGATTAATAAGCTAAGAAGATTTATCCTTTCTTTCTTTATTTTCGAGAAGGCAGGCGAGTATTCTATATTTCTGTGCTTCAGCGACTGTTCAAGACCTAGAAAAGCTCACAGGGAGTCAGAGTCAACTTTCGATTTTCGACTTTTTATCCATTATTGACCCTTCTTTTAGGATGACTACCTTGACTATGCTGTAAGATGCCGCCGAACAACGGCTGAAGTACTTCGAGATTTTTCGAGAACGTCAGAGGCGATTCCACCAGAGCGTCTTTTCGACTTATTCACCACTATCCGTCCAAGAGCTTTCAGTATCGCTTCTGCTCCTTCGAAGAACTCCATTGATATCCTTGTAGCTAAGGTGCAAACTTTCGCTATTTTATCACCACAACCGTCGGTGATTTCTGTACTTTCAGGTGGAATATCGAACCCGAATGGCGGAGCCAAGACGCGGCTTATGCAGCACATTCATGTCAAGATTGAAGAGCGGGGACAAGGTAATTGTTCGTTTCTGCTTCAGAACTTTTGAAATGTTTTTTTTAGATTCCTGCTCATCAAAGAAAACATACGTTACATAATAGTTATTTCAGGTGTTTGTTAAAATTCGATCGGGCACGTTCAAGTTCCCGAAGGAGGACAAGCCGGTGATTTGCGTTGGTCCTGGAACTGGTGTTGCGCCATTTCGAAGTTATCTCACATGGAGGAATAGGTGATAGATTGTTCATGGTCTTTTAAGGGGGTGTAGTGGTGGGTGGCTCGCTTACCACGCGTGAGGTCCTGGGGTTAAATCCAATGGGTTCTTTCTGAAGCCAAACTCACGTCCCAACGGGAACGGGAAATTGGGCCATATCCGTCAAGAAGATCGGCCTGTCCATGGGCTAACCTGTGCGAACAATGGTGCAAGAGTGCCAGGGTCATTACGACTCGGGGAGTGGGTGCACCAAATGGTAGTTAGCAAAATTGTACAGGTCATCTTGTGAGGACATGCGAAATCCTGCAACCGCAGTGGCTCCCTGCACCATGTCGCAGCTTCGTAACAGTTTATAGGTATCACCAAGTTGAGAGCTGTCAGTTAACATGAGTTAGCAAAAGGAACTAGCGAATGTGCGAAATGATCCCTCCACCTCAAACCAAACAGTGCCAGAGCACCACTACGGTTCTGAGTGGAATTAAAACGTGGCGCATTCCAATGTGGACTGGATGGACGATCGATGGCGAAATTTTCTTACTTAATTCTATTCACAACTGCAATTCTTTAACCGAACTTATTGCAGATGTAAGACGGCTGCGGAGTCAATATTATTTTTCGGTTGCCGAGGAGAGAAAAAGGATTTTTATTTTGAATCTGAGTGGCCTGAGATGTTAACAACACAGGTGTACACTGCATTCAGTCGCGATACTCCTGGTCAGAAAGTAAGAAGTTCATTCTTTTCTTCTGTTCCATTCTGTAGAAAAGTCATTGGACCATGACTCACACAATCGACTTCCCGGTAGGATGTGTGATTAGTAAGCAGCGGTTGAGACAGGCTGTGCTCCCTGTGAAACTCAAATATGTTGGTCTATGGTTACATTGAGTGGACTTAAAGACAGCGTCTGCGGTCGCCTTTCGCAGGTTGTAGAGCAAAGAACCATCAGATAATGTGGCACGTGGGACACTAATAAAGAAAAAAAAGCGAAAGAATCGTCGAAAACGCCCCGATTAGCACTCTATGTACGGGGCTGGAAATGGACGAGTTAACTGGGGTGTGGACGAGTTCTCTGAATCTAGCCTCTGCCTCGCTGCTACTCATACTTCAAGGCATGTTTGATGCGATCTTTTTCTCCGAAGATCTTATCACCGCCGACGAGAACTGATAACGAAAAATCGATCGAGGAGAGACTAGCTTGCAAATTCGGAGTAGCAAACCGTAGCCGAGCCCACTCGTCATCAGTCCACTTTCGAGGTGCAGGGCTGGGACGTCTTTTGTGATTGCGGACCCTACCATCCTGTACACTAGAGGGTTTCTGCACGTTGGTTGGTCACGGACGCTGACTCAAGGCTCAAACATTGAATTATGGGTACTAGTGGACTTGAACGTGATGGGAAGAGTGGGAAAAAGACTTTCGAAGATGTCAGAAATAGAGCTCCTTCGACTGGGTCAGTCCACTAGGAAGGGAGACACTGCTGCACGGGTGACAGACTAGACACATAGGTTGAGAGAGCAAGAAGACCAGAGAGATCCTCAGTCGGTCTGGCAGATAATGGACGCAACGCCTGCCACTGTGCTTGTAGATATGGGTCTGCTGGGCGCAGTTCGGCGATGGGGGTGGGCATTTTGTACTTTCATTGCTTCCCTAGTTCCGTCTTACAAGTCTCGCTCTGGTGAAAAATGTTATCTCTTGTGAAGCTGGAACAAGGTCGTCAAGCAATCATGGTAAAACCTTTCAGCTCGAGGCTGTCTAGATTGATCGACACGTCGATGGGAGTAGCTAAAGTGCAAATCGCCCCCCCCCCCCCCGTCGCCAAACTGCGCCGTTCTGCTGGTATAGTTCGTACCGGGAAGGGTATCGTAATGCCTGAGGATGACGTGTCTTCAGCTTATGACGGCTGCTGCGTTCTCTTCACTTACTGTCAAGGCGGGAGAGAGGGACAAGCTTCGATTGTGGACCGGGCTACCTCTACAAGGAAGGGCTTCTATGAATCGTGGACATCGTTTTTAACCAGACAATCAGCACAAAACTGGAGAAATGAAAGGCTCCGCTAGACCTCCCTGAACGGCTCGTCAGTCTTGTCAATTACACTGTCTCTTTTGACACCAGTTGATCTTTTGTGAACAAACTCGTTTTCCAAAACGTTACTGTCAATGGTTTTAGGTATACGTGCAGAACTTGATTCTGAAACATGCCGATGAGGTCTGGAATATCATGAGTCGGGAAGACGGTAGGCTCCTTCTGGAACCGCATCCTTAAACTTTGTTTCCACACTTTGTTTTTACTCTTGCAGGATTCGTATTCATAGCCGGAAGCGCAGGAGATATGCCCAAGGATGTCGGAACTGCGCTTGAAACAATCGCATCACGTCATGGATGGGCAGAAGGCACATTTTTGAAGAAGCTGGAGAGCTTAGGGCGGATCCAATATGAGACATGGTCGTAGTCTAGTGGAATGCAGCTGACATCGTCGCAATCAGACGGGGGTGTCTAGCGGAAGGAAATGAGCTCACCCGTGACGTTACTACCACTGGTTGTTTTCTTCCTAAATCGATCACTGTGTGTAGAAAAAGCAGCAAGGGATGATTCCATCCGTCCTGACGGCCCTCTCTTCACCTGATTGCGATGATACGAACTATAGTTCTTCCTAGATTGTTATGTTAATCTGGACTCAAGCTGGTTGTTATAGGCTCAAATTGTTGTTACGTTTGTAAGCTGCGAAGTTTAGGTAATCAGGCTTAGGTAATTGTTGGTCAATCATTGTTAGAAAAAGCTATAATAGTAAAGTTCGATAATTAGCACATGTTGAGAGCACTAATTATGAGTTGTGCATATCAGCGATAGCATTCAGAGACTGCAAAAGACAGATGTGGCACGGGATCTGGGAATCGACTGTGATCGACCGCGCTCTACCGTTAATCATTGGAATGCTGCAATTTCAGAGAGCATTTTTTTCCTGAATGCGATTCAATCAGCTGTTGCAGCGGCTCAACGAATAGCGATGGAGTGCGGTCGGTCGCGGTCGGCTCCCGAATCGCGCGATTGACTTGCTCGAGTCGCAAGTGTGAATGCGACATGATGTACTGGAATCGTTGGCTGTGTTACAGGGCAATCGTGATTCGCTGAGCTGGTGGAGGCGTCGCGTGCGCATCAAGCCTGCAAAAAAGGAAGTTTCTAGACCGTAGATGGACTAGGTTGTTGCCTACATGAAACGGTGTGCTCTGATCGACAGGCCAATGCAAACGAAGAAGATGCCGCGACTATCTCCGCGCGCGACGGAGCAGCGAATGACGATTGTCTTGACCGTCTCCTGGAATTGTGGATTGTTAGAATACTGGTGTGTCCTTGTGAAATGGATCCAATTCATATTGCATGGAATAATAATCTTGACTACAGACTGCGTGTGCTTCGCAAATGGTGAGCGTTGGAATAACCACAAATAATAGGCTTTCAAGAAGAGCCAGTGTCTACGTACTTCTGTTTTGGGCGGGTTTATTGCGGGCCTACAGCTTAGGGTGAGAAAAGGTTAAGTGAGTGAACAAATCTTGAGTAAGAGAGTGCAGTGGTCTGGCGGGCGTTGCTTTAGGCACGTCATATGTTGGGAATCTGCCAGGCCGGGATTCCCAACATTGACGAATGGGTACTGAATGGAGAGAGCGTGGTATATTCGAAATGGTTTTGTTGTTGATTTCTCATAATTTTGCCCTGCTCTCGCCGATCCTGAGGCCTTCATCGGGGAAAAAAAAACTTGGGACGGTGGTGGAATTTGGGGGAGTCTTGGACGATGTCAGGTAGGAAGAGAGATGGTGAAGAAGAGATAGTCGTACCTGAGAAGAAAACCTTAGGGGGACATTAAATGTGGCGGCCACGAAGTTTCCTGGACCTCTCCGGTTTTAATTGCATATGGCCGATACATCTGCCGCCATGAGCGGGTAAAACAGAGTCGGCTCTTGACATGGCATTGAGCGAGGCGTCTGTGTTCGGACGGTGTTGTCTGAAGTTTACAGGAAAATGGATGTATTCAAAAGCTCTGATCCATAAATCTTCATGACTAATGATTTGCACAGGTCACTGTAATAGAATTGATGACGTGATTATATGCTGATGTGATAGGAGTAAGGCAGGATATATAAGTCTGATGGAGAGTGCAATCATTTTATTCAGTTTGTACTATCAAATATTAGATTCGTCGCCTGCGGGGACTTGCTATGAATTGTATGTTTTTCCGCATGAGTTAGCTCCTTCGCGATGTGTAACCGTATGTAGAGTATTGGGTGGGACCGGTGCACCCGAAATTGTTACCATTGCTTGCCCTGCAATGTTGTTGGCGTTTCCCTATTCGAGAGAGCACACAATTTACGGGATGAACGACTCATCGCTCGACCGGCTAAAAGAACGTCAATTCCTCAGTCTGAGAGGTTCCCCGGCCCGCGATATTCCCGGATTGCCGGGCTACTCGCTGTGGCGCCTAATGTGCATAAGTGTGTTTACTTTGTGGAAAACAGGGTATCTGCACAATTTCTTAGGTGGGTAAAAACAGGAGGTACTGCTGGAATCACTCCTTTGAGTCACATGGCGTCTTCAAGCGTTGAGTGTTCCAGATGGGCACCAAGGAGGCGTCGGACGACCCATCCCATCCAGATTCGGCCGAAACAGTGCACATATCAGCACTAGCTTTGCTGAAAATGATGAGGCATGCAAGAAGCGGTGTCCCACTAGAGGTGAGCCTACAACTTCAAACCAGCAGTTTTGCCTCTGCAGCGATCCTTGTTCAGGTCATGGGATTGATGTTGGGCAGCTTTGTTGACGACTACACCATCAATGTCGTAGACGTGTTCGCGATGCCTCAGAGCGGAACTGTAAGTTCACAAACAAGCGATGAAGGTCTACCTGTCATCCTATCACCAAATTCTACTGAGAGATCCCAGTTGGGGCCCAACTGGCACCTCCCATCTTTACGGTGCAAATGACGCAGCGAAGAGCGGTCGCTCGACCGCCACATGCAATACGAGCGGCAAAATGAATGACAAGTTCGTTCTTCCACAATGATGTGGTTTTCGCCCGCTATCACATCTCTATTCTCCTGATCAGCACCTCCACAACACGCAGCCGAGCTGCTTCAGCAGTGAGCAGCTGTCGCTGAGGCACTTAGTCCAGTAGGTGAGGGAGGGAGGGGGGAAGCTCTGTAATGAAATTGAACCGCGCCCATATTCCGCTCATCTGCGACCTCACACAGAAATTGTGCTTCTAGCATTGAAGGTGCGGAAGGAGGGGAGCGTAACTCACTCCGCACACTGGTCCTACCCATTACCATAATGCCGACCGTCTCTCATGGGCTGTGCCAGTGATATGTGAAGAAAAACTGAAAATGAGACATTCAGAGCGTAACAGTCGAATCAGTGGATCCCGTTTATCAGACGAAGCACATGGATCTGCTGAAGCAAACCGGCCGTACGGAAATGGTAGTCGGATGGTGAGTGGGCTGTGTTCAGGATGCGTCAATATTACACGCCCCAGGTTGTACCGCGGCCCTTGTAATGTGCGAGAAGAGCGGCAGCTGTGTGGCTGAAGGGTAAAGATACCCGAATGCCGTTCCGGACTCATCTTGCTATCTTCGAAACGCAGTGCTTGTGTCCATACTATAATCCCGTAGCGGTAGCGCAGTTGCAGTCAAAGGTAGAGAACATACAAATGAGAGCGCGGACACACGTTTGGCTATGGTTGTACAAGCGAGTGGGCGTGCGGCATGCTACATATGTGTCTGCGTGCTTTGCCTGCGGGCCCGTTCTCCTCGACAGTCCAAGCGTCAGGATCTTCGGAAGGTGAAAGTACAATTTGTCACAAGAATGCTGAGTTATGGGCAAAAGTCGTGCCCCAGGCGGGAGTCGAACCCGCACCTCACGCTTTCCGGGCGAGTGCGCTATCCGTTACGCCACCAGGGCCGCTCTTATCCTCTCA